AAAACGTACGCGATACGGATGTTTCAGCGATCAAGCTTGCAGACGCCATCTAGTGTTCCCGTGTCGCTCATCTTATATTCTCACACTCATACTGCATTACCATTCATTACGAGAGTGCATATATTAACAATAATATATCATCAATAAAATGATTTCGTAACATATGAAAAAAGTATCCTGCAATATTTTGATTTTAGAATGTGTTTCTAAATTTTGATTTTAGTACAATCGTTCACACTTGGTTTTACAGCATTTGTTGGCGATTTTACAGCAAATGTGTGAGATACAATTGAAAATGATTTTAATTGTATTAATATCTATTAATGTAACAAACAATATGTTGTGATGTAATTGTAATAACACGTTTATAATTATATGAAGAGAAATTTACACGCAATGTCAATAAAGATGTAATAACATACCAGATTGAAGGCGCGTCATTTAAAGTGATGATATTCCTTTTTTTTCAAATGACATTAATGACGATTTTGAGTCAATTTTTTTTGACAGGAATGAACTTGATGCCTCGGATACGACTTTTTTTGACGGTGATAAATCTGACAACTCTCTCTCTCTCTCTCTCTCTCTCTCTCTCTCTCTCTCTCTCTCTCTCTCTCGGAGACGAATGTTTTTGGCGATGATGAGGTTGATGGCATAGAAATGACTTTTTTGAGTGCCATTGAAGTTTTGAAAACTTCTTTTGATCTCTCGAAATTTGATGTTTTACGAGAAAGACTTTCCGGAATCACACCAGTTTCCGTTGTTGGTATTATTTCTATTTTTTTTGTTTGTGATGACTCCTCTTCTTTTTCTTCTTCATTTTATTTCTCTTCTTCGGATGATGAACTGGACCATACTTTGGGTTTACTTTTGCGCCTGCCCAACAATTTATTCGAGCTTTTACATTGAATGTCCGAATCAAATTCAGCTTTTGGAAGATACATTCTAGCTGTTGCATAATCATCTAAAAAAAAGTAATAATTATACTAAACATAATAAAACAAAATTATTAAAATAATTATAATAATTAAATTATTACATATAATATTTTTAAATATAATCGTTTAATTATATGTAAGGTATTTTACCATATGTTTGCATAACTCTGCACGCATGGAGAGAGTACTTCTCATCTGGACACGCTGCGCGTTTAATGAGTTTTGCCGGGAAGTTAGTCGGTGGCCAGAAGCATTCGGTCTTTCCATTAGCTCTTTCTTTTATCCAAGTAACAGGTACGATTTCCACTGCTTCTTCATCCAGAAAATGTATAATCGAATACTTGCAAGGCATTTTGGTTTAATATTTTTCTGTAGAATAAATATCATACTGTAGGTATAAAAGAGATATTGTTCCTCTATTGAAAATGAACTGATACTCGTTGAATTTATGAGCCATGTACGAGTGGAATGATCAGTACACTACTTTTACGGTTTGAATTTTCACGTCCCATAATAGGAAACACAACAGCTTTGTTGACAATGCATGAAATTTCAGTTACTTGCAATCGAGAAGAATGTTCAGTATAGTCTCCAATTCCAAAACATGTTGAAGGCGCCAGGGAATTAAACAATGTTTGAACAAATTTTAATTGTTTTACAATTGCAACTACTGAATTATTTTGTTCGAAAATATTTTCTATAAGCATAATTCTGTTATAATTTGTTACACAACAATTGTTCGGTTTTGACGTTGTGAATTTGAACCCACGATATCTGATCTCTCTGTACATTGGAGCAGTACATTGATTTATTAAAGGTCCTCTATTGTGTTCTTTTCTTAATTCGTAGTTATCATTACGAATATTGACTATTCTTTTTAAATCTGCATTCCTAGACTCGTACATTCTATTTTTTAATTGCTCTAAAGGTTTATCGCATTTCCTAAGCATTTTCTTGAGCTCTTGCAAGTAATTTTCAAATATAAAAGCCGAATATTCATCTAACGTTCCCCATTTTAAAACATCATTAGCTAAATGTTGTAATGTATGAACGTTATAAGACATAGCTTGGATTCCGTATAGTGTGTCTTTGAAAATTAACAATATATTTTTCCAGCAATTGTTTGGCGTATCTGTTTTGTTCATATTCTAGATTCGGCGTCGCAAGAAAACGAATGACTATGGAAAGATGTAAGAAATGCTCATACACATCATCTCGGACAATGTTGCGTAATACTACCATTCCAATGTACAAAAGAAATTGACGGAACTCCGTAACTTTCATTCGATCAAGTTCTTCTAAACCTCTTGGTTTACGAGCAAATTCGCATGGAACATATTTTCTCAGATTCGTTAATCTCATCGAAATTTTATTTATTTGCTGAGTACCCAATTTCATGGGATTAAGTTTTTCAGTCATTTTATGCAGCATTTTTCTTGTAACCCCCAACAATACTACATACATACATGTAGTCAAATGGCACGTCCGAGACTAGATCATCGTTAAGCTGTAGCAATGGTGATATTCCTGTATGATGATCTCTTTGAGTCTGATTTCTAAATGACTCTGCAGTACGCAGACGGGCATTTAATTCAGGATATACAACACTACCTCTGTACTCGCCTTTTGTTTCACACTTACCACATGCATAGTATCCAGTATGATTTTTAATGCAACAAATGTAAGCCCTTGC